GACTATTTTCCTAGAGGCCCCATCCACCCGCGAGTTGCTTTCTGCACTCTTTATGCAGGAACACCTGGTTGGATACCAAATTCCTGCACCCCAATTTTTTCCCCTCAAACCTCTTCTGGCATGATTATTTTTTCAGAGATTTCCAAGGAACTTGGTTTGTTTATTCATGGATGTTTGTGAGGCTCTATCTTAGTGACATTTAAACATGGCAGTGGGACATTCAGAGGTGTCAGCAGGGCATCTGGGATGGCCCTCTCCATAGCTTTTGCATGAAACATGGCACTTCACCTCCTGTATTTTTCTCATTTACTCCACAGTTCCATTCAGCCCCGCCTCTCAGCCACTGTGCTGCTGCTGACTCACATGGTTTTGGGTCCTTTTGCTCCATTCACAGATACTATTTGCTTGACCCATGACCTTTGCTTACTCAGTGCTATTTCCCACTGGAGAGGCTGGGATGAGGCCCCATTCAAGTCCTCTAGGAGGTGAAGGCGCTCACCCATCCGCTGGAGATGGTAGAAAGTCAGCACTCCACAGATGGCACTTCTGGGATAGACACTTGGAACATCCCCACTGCTGCCTGTGATACCAACCAGATCCCAACATCAGTTGCAGCATTGGGATGGCCCCTTGGCATCTCTGCAGGGGTGTTGCTGAGACCACCCTGGAATTTCGGAGAACGACTGCTGGGAGCTCCAACCACAGTCAGTGCAGCTCTGCTGCTTCAGGTCCATGGTGACATTGATGCTGACACCACTCTCCTTGGGCTGCTCCTAGCCAGTGCCTGAGCCAGGCAGAGACACTAGCCTGGGATGATTTCTGATAATATGGGGCTCCTCCAACAGGCAACCTTTGCTCAGAGATGTCCCACAGCTTGGCCAAGACAGGCTGAGATCCGCACTGCTGTCTGGAGTCCTTCCCACCTTGGCCTTCTTTCCCCATCTCCTTTCACAGCATCAGACTTGCAGGTGTTCTGAAGGCTCACCCCACCTCCTCCTGCTCCCTTTCCCGGCTATCCTTCACATGCACTTCCCGGCTCAACTGTTGGGTTGTCTAACACTGCCTTAGCATCTGCTTCTCAGGGGACCTGAAGGGACTTAGGCTCCCACCCAGCCAACTACAGTACTATTGATTGACTGGGGTAGACCACTGGGTTGGCCAGAACAGGAGCTGCCAATGGAATGGCCCCATGTCCCAGGTCAATGGTGCTAGTTGCTGTCGCCACCCTCGTTCCCCTCCCTGCCCATGAGTAGACTGACTTTTCTTAGCAAACTTCTTTGAGAAGGGTGACCGCTGCTTCATCTCTTGCTGCAGTCTGGAGTACATTGATGCCTTTTTATCTTATACAGTGAAGCTCCTGCTTTTTTGAAAAAGACTCAAAAAGATGGTTTCCTTGGACTTCCAGAGGGAATTTAGATTAACTTTTCAGATTCTCTGCTCACTCTGCCATTAGCTGGCCGTATTTTTTCAACCTAATTTCTTGCCAGATCATAGAGTGCCTTCTGTGGCTTCAAAGACTACCCTCCGAGAAGCTTCTGTCTGAAGTCTGTCTGTAATTCAAATGTGACCTTCAGAATAATCCTACTGGGGAATGCTGTCGGCCAAATTGTGTCTATTTTCCACGCATATACCTACCACTGTCAGAGTAGACTCATCCCAGCACCCTAGGTTGTGTGCTTTCTGCCAGACCATTTTTTCCTGTTGTTATTCGTTCATTCCCCCAATTCAGCCACACATTGCATCTGGGTCTGGGTTGGACTTTGAGCCTCACTGATTTTTTCCCTTGGCCACTTTGAACCACCAGCAATATGGTGGACTCATCTGTGGAGTTTGCCGGTAACAGTTGACAGGAAGGGCCTCTGAGTGTTGAGCTTTCGTCATTGATGGCTGCTTTTTCTTAATTGGTGAGTGTGACCCAGACAAAGAGAGATACCCTCAGTCCCTTTTCCAAAATGTTACTGGAACTCTTTAAACAGAAACTTGTTTTCACTATTATCTTTGTGGTTTTTGGTTTTCTGCTGTTTCTGGTCTTAAAGGAAACTTCTCCAAGCCAGTTCCATCTTCCCCCTTGGTGTTGCAGCATTTTCTGTTTAGACCTAAACTGGCCTTTGGCCTGCCTTCCTCATTCTTTCTGAAATTTACCTTGTGAGTTCCAGGCTATTCTAGTAATTTTTTGAGCTAGGCCTGTGGCCATTTCAGCTTGTTTGGTGAGGAGGCAGCCACCCCCAGCTTGCAGATCCTGAGTAGGAGCAGTTACTCCTACACAAACCGTCCCACAAACCACAGGAAACCAGGGCTTTGAATATGAGGAAGTACATTTTCCTAGATCTCTCGTGACATAAATCCGTGAGAAAAGTTAACACCTTGGAAAGCACAGAATCTTCAGAAAGCCACCAAATCAAGTAATGTACATTAAATGTTTAGTGCCTAGTGCTGAATGGATGAAGTATCTATGTACCTATAAATGTCTATCTATAGGCGGGTGGATCACCTGAGGTCAGGAGTTCGAGACCAGCCTGACCAATATGGTGAAACCCTATCTCTACTGAAAATACAAAAATTAGCCAGGTGTGGTGATGGATGCCTGTAGTTCCAGCTACTTGGGAGGTTGAGACAGGAGAATTGCTTGAACCTGGGAGGCAGAGGTTACAGTGAGACAAAATCATGCCACTGCACTCCAGTCTGGGTGACAGAGTGAGACTCCGTCTCAAAAATAAATAAATTATCTATCTATCTATCTGTCTGTCTGTTTTCTTTTTCATTAGGGATCAGAGAGGGCTTGGGAATGGTATTCCATGTAAGATCTTCAAAAATACCCCAATTTTTTCCGCTCACAGACTCCCAGTAGTGAATGAGAAACAATAACAGAATGAGAATTCTGTTAGCAATAGCTGCACAGCAAAGAAATAAGTCACAGGAATGCTTATTGTGGAATTCATTGTTTCCTGGTAAAACACTAGAAACCTAAATGTTTATCAATAGGCTGCTGGCTAAATGAGTTTTGGTATACCTACACCGTGGGAGGCAAACAAGACATTCACATATGCTGACATAGACCAATGTCCAAGAAACATTGTTGAGTGAAAAAGCCAGAGATAGGAGCTGTAGGCATATTATTTCCAAATTTTAAAGAAGCCATACGTGTATATGTATGCAAGCATGTATTTGCATATAGGCCTATATTTAGAAACTGCCTGGGAGGATTATGCAAGAAGCTGGAAGCCACGACTGCCTTGGGAAAGGACGGTTGAGGCCTTAGGATACAATGGAGGCCGACTTCCTTATGTATGTTCTTTTGTTCTCTTTGAATATCTTATTGAGTGCATGGACTACTTTTAAAATTAATAACAGGAGCTGTGAAAAATAATGAATCATGGAAGCATTTATTAATAACGGAAGTTGCAGGACCAGCTGTGGTGGCTCCTGCCTGTGATCCCAGCACTTTGGGAGACCGAGGTGTGCAGATTACCTGAGGTCAGGAGTTTGAGACCAGCCTGGCTAACATGGTGAAACCTCATCTCTACTAAAAATACAAAACATTAGCCAGATGTGATGGTGCATGCCTGTAATCCCAGCTACACAGGAGGCTGAGGCAGGAGAAGCACTTGAACTCAGGAGGCAGAGGTTGCAGTGAGCTGAGATCGCCCCATTGCACTCCAGCCTGGGCGACAAAGGGAGACTCCATCTCAAAATAATAATAATCATACAAAATAATAATAGCTGCCGTGGTCACTCGTACAGGATTCTCTGGTAGGAGTCCATGCTGATGTCTCCTCCCTGCTGCATCGACATCTTGGGATCTCAGCCCCTGCTAGGCAAGAAGTCATGGAAGGTGAGAGCAGCACAGGAAGGCAGGTCTCATGGCAGGACCTGGCTGTACTTGCTCAGCCAGCTGCTTGCTGCTGAAGCAGTTAAGGAAGACGCCAGGCCAATGCCGTGGTCCTGTGCACTAGTGAATGTGGCACGTTCCGTGTCTAAGACCAGTCAAAGTCGAGTACACCAGCAGCGTGGTGAGGGAAGAGGGAAGAGTGGGTGAGAAAGGAGGGAGTGGGGAGGGGGGCAGAGGTGGGCGAGTTGGGAGAGGGTGGAAGTTGGGTCATATTTGAATCCTCTTTCTAGCAGCCTCTGTTCTGGACGCCTGGGTTGAACACTTGGTTCTGTCTTGCTCCAGAACTCCATACTTTGATACAGAACACCAAAAGGCATTCACCCCCTTATCCCAAATTGCCCAGGCTCAGACCACACCCGTGTGCGACCACACCCGTGTGCAACCACATCTGCAGCCTTGGTCCTCCTGTCTCTGAGGCCACTTGTAATTTTCTGCCTGACTACAGGCCTTTCCTTACCATGTGGAGACCTCAGGCCCATGCTTCACTCCCCCTGGGAATCCTCTTTCTCCCACACCTCCGTTTTCTCTTTGGAGTACATGGGGCAGCAGCAGCTCTAGGCCTCAGAATCCCCGATGAGACTCCAACCCTCTGCCTGCAAGCCCAAGCAAAAGTTGTGTTGCTTATCATGGCCTCTCGGAGAGTCAAGCGTCTGCCCCTGAACCAATGAACTAACCAACTACTGTGTCCAGGGGAATGTGATGCTCTGGTGTCAGTCACCCCTCATTGCAGGTCAACTCTACCAACCATCAGGAAAGTGGGTGGGGGAAGACAGAAGGGACAAGAGGAGCTGAACCCTGGAAACAGCATTTGAATCCCTGATCCAGCTGTTCCTGAAGTCAGCCCTGAACTAGTTTTCATGGTTTCCATTGTGTGAAATTCTCTTTGCCAAAGCCTGTTGGGTCGGGATACATGTTGTTACTTCTTTCAACAAAAGGAGTTCTGGTTTAAAAGACAGCTGTCCATGCACAGCAGGGTTCCATATTTGTAAAAGAAAAATGTGCATATGGTTGAAAGAGTGAGAAAGGGAGTCTGGATTGATACACATGAAAAGTAGCAGTGGTTGTGTCTGGCCAGCGGGATTCAAGGGCATTTTGCTTTTCTGTGTTCTAGTTGTGACTCAGTGGGCATGAATTGCTGTGTGATGCCGGGAGGTGTTTGTTATTCTTGACAAAGTCATTTGAATCCGACACTTCAAGAGAGTGAAAGAAGTCCCATCTGATCTGTTGTTGGTGTCGTAGGAAGAAACATGAGCCAGCCAAACACCAGCGGGAACTGCTCCTTCGAGGGCGTGAACGAGCTGATGAAAACCCTGCAGCTGACAGTCCACATCCCCACCTTCCTCCTGGGCCTGCTTCTCAACCTGCTGGCCATCTTCGGCTTCAGCTCCTTCCTGAAGAAGAGGTGGCCCGATTACGCTGCCACCTCCATCTACATGATCAACCTGGCGGTCTTTGACCTGCTGCTGGTGCTCTCCCTCCCGTTCAAGATGGTCCTGTCCAATGTGCGGCCCCCCTTCCCGTCCCTGTGCACCCTGGTGGAGTGCCTCTATTTCATCAGCATGTACGGAAGTGTCTTCACCATCTGCTTCATCAGCATTGACCGGTTCTTGGCCATCCGGTACCCACTCCTGGTCAACCACCTCCGGTCCCCCAGGAAGACCTTTGGGATCTGCTGCACCATCTGGGTCCTGGTGTGGACCGGGAGCATCCCTGTCTATAGTTTCCATGGGACAGTGGAGAATTACATGTGCTTCCACAACATGTCTGACAGTACCTGGAGTGCGAAGGTGGTCTTCCCGCTGGAGGTGTTTGGTTTCCTCCTTCCCATGGGCATCATGGGCTTCTGCTCCTCCAGGAGCATCCACATCCTGCTGGGCCGCCGCGACCACACCCAGGACTGGGTGCAGCAGAGAGCCTGCATCTACACCATTGCAGTCAGCCTGGCCGTCTTTGTGGTCTCCTTCCTCCCAGTCCACCTGGGGTTCTTCCTGCAGTTCCTGGTGAGGAACGGCTTTATCGTAGAGTGCAGAGCCAAGCAGAGGATCAGCTTCTTCTTGCAACTGTCCATGTGTTTCTCCAACATCAACTGCTGCCTGGATGTTTTCTGCTACTACTTTGTCATCAAGGAATTCCGCATGAACATCAAAGCCCACCGGCCTTCCAGGGTCCAGCTGGACACCACGATCTCCCGGGGCTAAGGGAAGGACACCCTGCTCAGGGAAGGAAGTCCTGACCCCGAATTCTGGAAACGGATATTGAGTTCCAGGGTTTGATGTGGCGGAATGATCCATGCTGTCTTCACTGATATGCTTCTCTTTGATGTCCATTGAGTGCCAGCTTTGCTCATTATACCCCCAAGACCTTTTTTCCAGTGTCCGGACAGCTCCACATGTACCACCCAATGTTCAGGGGTCTCTGAAGAACCCCAAACTAGGTGAATTATTGATTTCTAAGTCCAGAAACTATAGAGCAGAAGAATTAAGAAAGAATGAGACTATGTGGACAAGGTCTTTCCAACTCTTCCCATTTTTCTGTTAGACTGGGAGGTTCTGGAAAGAAGAGAGAAAAAGAGAGAGGAAGTAGAGGAGGGAACTAAGAGAGTCAGTTATGGGGGAGAGGGTCCTGGGCACAGCTAGGGTGGCAGGGATGAATGAAGCCCCTTTTTAGTCTGGGTGTCCCAGGATGAAGCAGACTTGCGTGTTCCAGTGCCTTCTGTGTTGCCAAAAGCCTCACTGAGATGACAGCCAATGGGGTAGTGTTTGGGGCTGGGCAAGCGTGTGTGGATCACCCAAGTTTCCAGTGGGCCTCAGAAAGGTGAAGGAAGCCAGCCGGACCTTTCTGTGCCCGTGAGAAGGCTGCAGAATGACCGAGTGTGGTGTTGATGACATCCAAGAGCCGTGAAGGGACAGGACACTCCTGGGGAAGGAAGCAGACAGCCCCTCCCCCATTGCCATCGGGATGGCCACAGGATAGGGTGTTGGTGCCAGCCCAGGGCGAGGAGAGGCAGTGGGAGACGGCCCCGGGAGAGGGGAGACCCCTGACTCGCTTTTTATCTTGAACAGGCTGTGAAGTTGCACATTACACGTTTCCTTGAAAACAATGGCAGAGAATCAGGCCTGCCTTGGTTCCACCATATGAAGGTGGAGGAGGTGCTGTCTTGCTCACCTGCATCCTGGCTGGGCAGCTGGCACCTGTGGCACTGCCCGTCGAGCCATTCCCTCCCCAGCAGCTGGGAGGGAGAAGATGAGGCAGCTAGGCACAAGCGGTGGTTGGGAGGGAGGTTGGGGAGGCTTGAGAAAGAAGGCAGGGTGGGGAGTCCCTGCAGTCCCCAGGAAACTGTAAACAACTGAGTCACGCCTGGATGTCTTCTCTAAGGACCTGGAGGAGGAGTGCGCAGTGACAGCGGAAGACTTCTGATGACTCAGCTGCCCCGGAGAATGAAATGATGAGAAGGATCAGTTGTGGGGTGGTTTGCACGACCAAGTGAGTGGGATGATGAGTGACTGATGAGACTTTGTGTGAGCAAGGTCTTTCGGAGGAAAAGCAACTGCTGTCTACCGTAGGATCTGGACCCATGTGGGGAGGTGGGAAGGGCTCGGGAGGGGTGGCGGCAGGACGGGGAGAAGAGAGGGATTTGGATAAACGTGGACCTGCAGAGGAGGAGGAGGAAAAGGAAGAGGAGAAGGAGGGAAGCCGAGCAATGACCCTAGGTCTGAAGCCCGCAGGGAGTGCAGGATGAAGGGGGAAACTGGCTGAGCTGCTTTCCACCTGAGAGCCTTTCCTGGCTGGCCTAAGAGCCATGGACCAGCAGGAGCCGCCTTCTCAGGAGCAGCCCCCGCTGCTGTGTGCTCAGGTGGCACTCTGAGCACCTCCTCCTAGGTGGAACTGATCATGTAGGGTGGGTCAGGGAGGGGAGCCAGGACCCATGAGCTGTACCACCGTAAGGGGTAGGTCCTTGGAGGGCATCAGCAGTCTCAGTGTGATGTGACAACTATGGACCTGTGGGTGGGCCCTGGGGACCCTGACGCATCCCGAAACATGGTGGGAAGAAGGGCCTCTTCTCCTTGGGGACCCAAACTGTCCCACGTATCTGTGGGAGCGGGTGCAGATCCACGCTGCAGACCACTATGGCTGCTCGGCAGGAGGGCTGAGAGTCTGGACCCACGCAGCTGCAACCCATTCCGCCCCATGACCGGCAGCGGCGCCCGGCGGCACAGGAGGGGCGGAGGGTTAGCACTGGAAAAAAACGACTTCATTAACCTGATTCGCCAAATAAATAGATTCATGTGATGCTGTGTGACCTTGTCTTGGACTACGCTTACTGGCCTCAGAGAAAAGCAGACCTCAGATGGCCCCTGCCAGGTCACCCAGCAATCTTGATCTCCTCAGCAGCCACCTGGCCACCAAGTGTGGGCTGTAGGGAGTGGCCCTTGCTGCTCAGGAGCACAGCTGGGCCTGTCCAGGTGATCAGGAGCCAGACCTTCGGGGTCTAGTTCCCACTCCCCTGCATCCATGTGGGTTCTCCGTAGCAGCAGCCAGGCTGCACAGACCCCACATACCCAGCTGCAGCCAACCCCACCCTGCCCCTGCTACCTTGTCCCACGGCCCTGTGACACTGCAGCAGCTTCCATAGGCCCTGGCTCCTGTGCATACATGTGGGTGGGGGGCCCAGCACGAGGCCTGCTGACCACTGAGGGGCTGAAGACACAGGGCCAGTCTCTAGAGGTCCTCCACGGGTGGCCCTTCCCTCCCTTCTCTGACCTCCGGTGGAGGGACTGTGACTCTCCCAGGGTGGATTCTCCTGGGTTCTTCTTGGTGCTTCACAGTGAAGTCTGCGGACCTCTGGGGAGCTCCTGGCAGCCGTGAACTGCTAGGCTCTGGCCTCAGCTGTTCCCTACAATCCTGAGTGCAGCTGCTCATGGCCTGGGGGCTGAGGGCCAAGGGAGACATCTTTGCTGTATTGAACCATATCCTGCTCAACTAGGAGCCACCCCCCCATATAGGCCACACCCCCTCAGAGTAGTGACCACCTCCCCTCAGCCCCCAAAGAGGATCTGACTTGGAAAATGTCAGTCCACAAGATGCATTTGTCAACTGTATGTCCAACCCCGCCACTGAGGAGAACAGAGAAAGACAGTTACCTCTCTGGGGACCCTCAGATGCTGAAAGTCATGATGCTAATACTATGTAACTGCCAAGGGATACTAAAGATGCCTGGAAGAGTAAGATGACATGCTTCTAGCAAGTGACCACAAAGGAATGATGGTTGCACGGGTGCTTGAAATGACTTAGGCCTGGCAACAGTTGTAGAGATTCCTAGGGGTCAGAAAGGATTTGGTTAATAGACCAGTGTGGAAAGAAATTGGGCAGAGCCACAGCCCCTGTGTTGGTGTGAGAAGAGGCTGTCATGCAGAACACAAAGAGGTGGGGATGCGGACATCCCCATAGGAGAAGGAGCTGTGTGGGGATGCCCACGCCAGGCCACCCTTTGTCTGTCCTTGAGGGTCAGTTGTATTGCAGACAGCGACTTTCCAGGGCCAAATAAAGCCTGGCTGGGACCACTTGACAACCCTCCCAGGGTGGATTCTCCTAGGTTCTTCTCAGCTTCACAGTGAAGTTAGCTTTGAGTCCTTTGACAGAGGACCTAAAGGCACACAAAATAGTGCCTTTTCTGGGGTGGCCACTCCCCCGAAACTACCATCACAGGCCCCACTGGCTTTTTCCACCCAGAGCTGGCTTTTCTGGCTTCTCAGGGCACAGGCCATGAACGGCCATTTGAGGAAGTGCAGAGAGCAGGTCAAGAGGGACTCCAGGAGTTTGAAGTGGAAGGACAAAACAGATGTCCCTCTGCCCACACTTCAGCTCTGAGCACTCCCTCCTGGGCCCAGAGCTGGCGAGATGTGCCCTCCTTGCGAAGCTGTTGCAGAAAAGGCCACGTGGCACCTCAATCATGAGTCACGACAGAAATGTGGCCCCTTATGCTTTGAAGTCTTGGGAGGTAGGATCAGAAGCACTGTCACTTCAAAGCCAGATGCGGCTCTGGCTCCCCTTCAAGGCTTCAGATGGCAGCTTTACTCCGGAGCCCCACGCCACAACAAGCGAGTGAGGGTAACCAAGACGCTGCCTGCAAGGGAGGCCTGCATCTCCACCGGGGGCAGCGCAGTCTCGCAAAGGCTGCTTAGCGTGCACTGACAGGCTGCCTCCGAAGCCTCTCTTCTAGGTACTGGCTTTGGGCTGTGCGTTGTGCAGATGACGGTGTGTGGACATGTGTGTGTTTCTCATTCAAGCAGTGTCTCAGAGCAGCTTGCCAGTGGAGGCCACACAGAATTTAGGAAAGTTGTGCTAGAGCCCAGATTTTCCAAATAGCCAATTCCCCAAGTCCTGATCCTGTCCTGGGAACCATCAGTCTCTTTCTTCCACCCCTTCCTCAAATGACACGCTCACCCTTTACATTAAGGATCTAAAAGCAGCATAGGTGGAGGGGTTTCCCTGAGGGCAGTGGAGAAACTTTGAGGCCAGTGAGTCCGGAGTGGTTAAGGAGGGCTCTAGACCACCCGCTCAGGGTAGGACGTGTTTGTGAGGTGGGTCTGCAGGCAGGATTAGGTAGGTGGAGAGAACGCTCCCTCCCCAAGATGGACCAGGCTCCGGTGGGCATGGCCTCCTTTGGCAGCAGATACCAGCCTCTTTGCTGTGGTTTCCTTCAGTTTCCTAAATCTTCAGTACCCACTTCAGGTGGCAGCTGGGACACAGCTTTCACCGAGGGGAATCAGTGTGAGCTTTAGAGCGGAGCATGAGACTCAGAGATGTCTGGGGAGGGGCACCCATGGCAAAAAGGACTTCCCACATTAGTGGAGGGTGGGGAGCAAAGTTATTATTCTCCGAGTATTAAAATAAATGTGACATCAGAGGCAGAACTATTTCGATTATGTGAATAAGGTGGGATGAAATTGAGGGTTAAGAGATCTGTAAGCTATTGGTATTTCTTCCCTGGGACTTTACACTGCAAAAAACACCCATATATGGCAATTATGTTGTCAGTCTACTTGAGCTGCCATAATAGAACACTGCAGGCTGGGTGCCTCGAACAACAGGAATTTATGTCTCACAGTGCTGGAGGCTAGAAATCTCAGATCGAGGTCTGGCAGGGTCAGTTTCTGGTGAGGCCGCTCTTCCTGGCTTGCCAATGACCACCTTCTCACCGTGTCCTCAGAGTCAGAGAGAAAGGAAACAAACTCTCCGTGTCTCTTCTTCTAAAGACACTAATCCTGTGGGATCAGGCCCCACCCTTAGTTCATGTTACCTTAGTTACCGCCTAAAAGCTGCATCTCCAAATACAGTTACATTGGGGGTTAGGGCTCCAGCGTGTGAATTTTAGGAGGGACACTTCAGTTCACTGGAATGGCTTCTATTCTGACCTGGAGTAGAAGTTGCACTTCTTTCATTTTTTCAAATTGAATGTAACTTGCCCTAATTCTCCAAGGTTTACTGGAGGAAGCTCCAGCTCTATTGTCACTGGATCCCTTCTGCTCCCAAGATCCTGCACAGGTCCTACCCGGGGCCTCTCTAGATGGCTGTACTCTTTGCAGAGAACCCTGTGTTTCAGTCCACACTGGTCACAGCCACAGTGGCCATCAAGAACTGGGCCCTTCAATAGAGGCATGCGAATGACACTTGGGCACGCAGCTCCTTCCTGCAGGCCCCAAGCACTCTGTGTTAAGTGGTCTTCCACCTTCACTCCTGAGGCTCCTTCAGCCGAGTGCTTGTCTGGGCTCTCCTTGGGAACCACAATAGCCCTGCCCCTTCCCAGGCTGACCCTTGGACACACAAACCTCGCATCCTTTTCAGGTAGGGCTTTAGGCAGTGTTGGAAATAGATGCTTGGTGCCACAAAGAAAAATCAGCACTGAGACAAAGGTCTTTCGGCAATGCAACTTTTACTTCCTGGACTGCAGGAAGGGTACTCTCACCAGCCATCTTGCCACAAGAGTACAGTGAACAAAGGAAAACACACACATTTATCTCTTATGCATTTGGGGTCGTCCTTACTGCTGTGTCTGATCTCTATTGGCTGGAGCCAAATCTCACAATTTAAACTAAAACCTGATTGGCTAATAACTTAAAACTTTTCTAAACAGGTAAAAGCAGTGAAGAGCTGGGACATGCTTGTGAGCACTTCCAGCACTGATATCTTGGTTAAAGTACAAGGACATAGAACGTACTATGTGCCTGTAAGCATGGCGTGTCTAACAGCTACATAGCATAGGGCTTAACAAAGTTATTAGCACACTTATTATTTATTCTTTAACAAGAAAGGAAACTTTAAAAAGGAGCTTTTCTACTTCCCACAGGCAGCCTCCCTGAGAGTAGTGAAAGCTCCGGCACTAGGTCTTTTGTTTTGTTTTAAGACAAGGTCTCCCTCATGTTCCCCAGGCTGGAGTGCAGTGGCCTGATCACAGCTCACTGCAGCCTCGACCTCCTGGGTTCAAGGGATTCTCCTGCTTCAGCCCCCTGAGTAGCTGGGACTGCAGGTGCACGCCACCCTGCCTGGCTAATTTTTGTATTTTTTTGTAAAGACAGGATCTTGCCATGTTGCGCAGGCTGGTCTTGAACTCCTGCGCTCAAGTAATCTGCCTGCTTTGGCCTCCAAAGTGCTGGGATTACAGGCGTGAGCCACCGCGCCCAGCAGGCCACTGGGTCTTGATTCATCTCGTGCCATGGATCCTCCTGCAGTTGGGAAGAAGTCTGCAGACCTTCCCAAGAAGGGCGGTTTCACATGCATCAGGTAAAATGCATGGAATGAGAGAGGAAAGCAGATAGATGAAAATGTAATATACATGTTTCTTTAGGCACTGGGTAACAAGGTCTAGTGACAGCTTTAATGATTCTCAGAATTTTGAATTCATGATGAGCTGTAAATTTATTTTGAATTATCTGCAGCAACTGTCATGGGATATGAGAGCATCTGTGATATCTGTTGGTGACAAGTCCCAGAAACCAAACCATCTATCCCACCGTCTTGTGATGTCTACATGCATCATGGAATAAAATGTTACTTTCAGTTATTGATTAGTGAAAATGGCATGTAATATTTCCCCCCAACAAGTTCATGATACCCCTGAATTCCACTCCTGATCCCCAGGTTGAGGACTTCTGGTTTAGGCAGAGACTTAAGGAACCTGGGCACAGGTGTTCTTCCTCTGGCGAAGGATCATTTGTGTGCCCTCTTTGTTATGCAGATGTGGACCACCAGGGTCCTGTCCTTTTCCTCTTGGGGTTTGGGCTGACCCAGAATTTTTACCTGTGGGGCTTAGAGAAGCTGGCCGGCCCCCTTTGCGTGCTGCACTAGAGGAAGTGGAGTCCCAGGGCTCTCTGAAAGCAGACACCCATATCCCAGTCCGCAGTCTCAGAGATGCAGTTGGGGTGCCTGTCCAGGAGCTCTAGAGCAATCTAAGAAGTAGTGGCAGGGGCAAGCAGTGAGGCCCCCAATATAAATCACCTTGAATTAAGGGAGATTTCAGCTGATAACACTGTTCTGGCCAGCATGGAATGTGGCTGATGCTGGACACCTGTTCAAACCCAGCCAGTCTGCCCCAGGAGCCACGCTTTGGAAAGAAGGGCCGAATGTGAAATGAGGACTAAAAGGAGGCGTAAGCCTGAACCTCGACCACCAGGGGCATCCCAGCCTCTGGG